GCCAAGTGATTTACTTATTAATATTTCTGTTACTGAACAAGTTGCATCACTAAATATTATTTTAAAATCTCAGAAACACATGTTTATAGTAATTTATTGATTCAGCATACAGCTACATACAAACTAGCACACTTCTATTGGTGGTACTCTTCTCACAAAGGTGACACAGCAGTAATAATGCATATCATAAATCAATAGTATTAGCTCACCAACAGTAGCTGTCCAGTAACTGCCAGAGCCTGTCAAATTCTTAAGTGAAATCTCAAGTTGCCTTTCTTGACCCACAAGGCATGTACCAAAGTCTAAAGACTCATGAGACAATTGAAGAGATGGAATAGTAACAGTAGCAACTAATGGAAGTGTCTGAAATAAACAAAAATAAATATAATTATAAGGCACGTAGAGAGCACAATGATCTGTCAAAGAGGTAAATTTGTTAACCTCACTTATCCTATTGTAAGTCTTTTAATGACAAGACACATTTATCATATTTATATAAGCCAAATTAAATCTTGAATAGTTTTATTCACTCAACAAACCAAACAATGCAACTAAATAATAGCACCTAAATCCAGATCTCTACTAAAATCCAATCACTTGGTTTATGTTTGAAGATCAAGAAAATTCATCACTAGCTTTTTCAGTTATTTGGCAATGTTTCCATGTCATGCACTAAATCCATCACAATCATTTCCGAAAGTGTCATTTCCATGGCACAAGATCCATAATTGCTTAGTCCTTAGGTCAAAAGCAATTCTTGCTAAAAACTTGATGAGAATCCATCCATCCATAACTTCTTTTAATTTTCAATGAAACTCTTCTTAAAATGGCTGTGTCCATATCAACTGGATCCACACCTCTTCCAATTTAATGGATTGGTTCAAGGGCTCGATAAAATTTCATGAGAATCTTCAGTTTATAAATTTGCTGTTTCCATGGTAACAGAAACTACCAATACAATTCTGTGATTGGTTGGATCATGTGTCAATGGAAATCTGTCATGAAAGTTTTACGAGAATTCATTTACTTGAATGGAATTCCTATCACTCAAGTTGAGAGGATTGGTCCTCTTTTCTATGAATCTTTGAATTATAAATAAAAAATCTTTAAATGATCCTATAATAGTCTCCATATCCAATATGTATGCACTACCACATGTACATTGTTAATACATGTACTTACCTGTATTGTATCATTATTGAACCTAATCTGTAAGTCTTGTGAAAACTGGATTCTCCTTTCAGTTTCTTTGTATACCAATGTAATTCCATCAATTTCTTCCCCATTCTCCAAAGCATACAAGTATTTACGTATCAAATCCATGGTTAAACAAAATGACACTTTGACCTAGAATGAATAAAGTGACATAGCATTACAATAAAGTCATCACAGAGTACTGCCCCATACCAACACCATACTACAACACAGGAATGGTGTACTGCCCCATACCAACACCATACTACAACACAGGAATGGTGTACTGCCCCATACCAACACCATACTACAACACAGGAATGGTGTACTGCCCCATACCAACACCATACTGCAACACAGGAATGGTGTATTGCCGATACATACCAACGCCATACTACAACACAGAAATGGTGTACTGCCCCATACCAACACCAAACTACAACACAGGAATGGTGTACTGCCCCATACCAACACCAAACTACAACACAGGAATGGTGTATTGCCGATACATACCAACACCATACTACAACACAGGAAT